CAGGCACGCTCCACCATGCCCAGCTAATTTTTTGTAGTTTTAGTAGAGATGGGGTTTCACCATGTTGACCAGGATGGTCTCGATCTCTTGACCTTGTGATCCACCCGCCTCGGCCTCCCACAGTGCTGGGATTACAGGCTCCAGCCACCACGCCCGGCCAGGAGCTACTATTTTTAACTCTTGCAGACAAGGAGGAAAATTACTTAAATGGCTTGTGGTGAAGTTAGGAATTGCTACTCAAAGATTTTGAGATGCAGTTAGGAGATAAAGGTTTTCTGAATGGCAGTCAAAGCTCAGGTGAAGTTTATAATAGACTCATTTATCAATTTCTGGATTTTGTTAGCAGGACTTTGTATCTGAGAGCAGAGGAATTGGTAGTGTTGGTGTGAGGACTAGAGAGAAGTCCAGGGGGAAGAGGATTTAATAGAATGAGCACCCATCATTAAATTGTTATATTGATTTGATAAAAGGATATTTTGAAGCTGTTCACGTTCAGTCCCTATAAAGGAAGGGGGTGAAATGCAGTACAGGCTACCTTTGAGAGAGGAAGATTTTTTAAACTGTCCCCTCCCTCCATGGCCTCCCTTCCCCCGCAAACCTGTGACTCCTTTCTGCTACTAAAGAGCGGTTACAATCAATTTCCATGAAGCCCTTTCCTGGCCTCCTTAATACCAGAGCTTTGCAATGAATGTAAAGAGTATTATTTGACAAGATGCAAGGCCAAATCATAATTACTATCACAAAAATAATTTTCATTCTGGGCAAGAAGAAGCAAAGCAGCCCAAATGCAACTGCCTGAGAAGAAACTGCGAGTCACAGCCATTTATTCATTACCATTTACCTTGTGGCTGAGGTTTTATGATCTGAATAAAGGTGTATGTAGAAAAGAAATAGCTAAATACAGAGGTAATGCTGTTTATGCCTGTCAGATAGATTTGAAAACCAAGATATACCTGTAGCTTTTCCAAAATTGTTTTGTGTGTTTTAAGATTAAAAGGATCATTGACTAAAAATACCAGCCGCTAGCAGTGGTAACAATGTTTGGAGGGGATCTGAAGAAATGCAGGGTCTGACTTACATTCTGCACTGTAGCACCTCATTTATTTGAAGGTATATTTATATAGTTTTCACACCTTTTTGCTATAATGAATAGATATTTAGGTTGAACCATATGAAATTATTTCCTTTCTCTCTTTGTCTTTTTTCTGTCTCCTACAGGAAGGACATGCAATTCTTGATGTTGACTTTTTTGATCTTTGAAAAATGGCAGTTTCATATGTTTCAACATAATTCAGTTTTCTGGCTTTGAATCTTACCTGGGAATGGGAAATTAGGAAGATTTTGTAGTTTGTAATCCTGATCATTGTTATATGCCCTTCTGAGGTATGGGGGTTTTAGTGTCCCCTCCTCTCCCTTTGAGAATCACTGGTGTATATATAGAGAGATTTTCAGTAGGCTGTTTTGTACATGGAGGTGTGTAAAGAGAAAAAGTTTGAAAACCTATATTCTCTGAGATCTCCCTGAGGGGTGTATCTTGATGTGTGTTCACTCAGAACTCTTATGTAAAGGAAGATGTTTTAAGAAATGTTTCCTTTCTACCTTTCTTAAAACCTTATTTTTATCTCCTCTGTTCCCTCTTACAGGATAATTCATTTGAATTTGAAAAGCGTAGAAATGAACCTATCAAATACCAGCGAGAGCTATGGAATAAAACTAGTAAGTCATAAAGAAATACCAGTAATTTTGAGGAGAGACTGGTTTTGGAATATTAGCATAACTTTAAGTGTCATTTTGTTGTTTAAATATTGAATTTTCCATTTTTCATTTCTTGGCTTTTATTATTTTAACCTCATTTTAATGGTTCTGTTGTCATTTATCAAATTTTTTTTTAGAATTGTCCAGTGTGTCCACTTTAAAATAATGTAGTTATTAAGGTTGATACTAGTTTAAGTGCCCACACAGAGATGTAAAAACATACATAAGGCTGAAAAAAGTAGAGACGGAAAATACTGTTTTAGGGTGAGCATGGGGCAGTTAAAATACACATAAAACCTAACACACTTTATATGTTTAGATGACATAGTTTAGGATATAAACTTGTACTCTGTATACCTTATAAAGTTCATTGCTTCTTTAAAATTTAAAAGTATAGCACTTAACGTCATCAGTACAAGTGTTGTGAGATAATTTCTAAGTGTTTGACTTAGTTAAAAGATGAAGTTACAATCTATCGAAATTAAAAGCAATAATACCTAGTTCTTGTCTTTTTTTTTTTTTTTTTCTGAAGTAGGCAGAGACTTTAATGAAAAAGGTCCCATATGTAGAAAAAGTTAATCCCTTGAGCTAGCTTGTAGATTCCACCACGTTTGTGTATGTTTGGGACCCTTGGCCCTACTCTTTTTTTGAGACAGAAAGTCTTGCTGTGTCCCCCAGGCTGGAGCGCAGTGATGTGATCTCGGCTTACTGCAATATCTGCCTCCTAGGTTCAAGCAGTTCTCCTGTCTCAGCCTCCCAGGTAGCTGAGATTACAGGCACCTGCCACAACACCTGCTAATTTTTGTGTTTTTAGTAGAGGCTGGATTTTGCCATGTTGGCCAGGCTGGCCTCGAACTCCTGACCTCAAGTGATCCACCTGTCTTGGCCTCCCAGAGTGCCGGGATTACAGGCTGCACTCAGCCCGGCCCTGCCTTCTTTTCTTCCTTTGGCTACCATTATGCAGCGTGTAGCCCTTTCTAGTATTGGGTGTGAGGTTGATGTGGTTTGTTAACCAGAGTCTGTAAGGCTAACAATTTCGTGAACTTTATTACTCTCCTAATGGATCATGGGCAGGGCATCCCTTTCTGTATTCCAATTAGTCATGAGACTTCAGGGGAAGAACTGAAAATTTGTGGACCTTTGTAGTAGTATTCAACACCTTCTAAAACAGGGGCATCCAATCTTTTGGCCTCATTGGAAGAAGAATTGTCTTGGGGCACACATAAAATACACTAACACTAATGACAACTGGTGAGCTAAGGGAAAAAAAAAGAACTCTATGTTTTAAGAAAGTTTATGAATTTATGTTGGACCGTGGGTTGGACAAGTTTGTTCTAAAGCTTTGTTTATGCTGGACCATGTGGAGAATATATTTTTAAAAAATTTTTATTTTTTTCTATCTTTTTTTCTTTCTTTCTTTTTTGTTTTAGAGATTGAGTCTCGCTCTGTTGCCCAGGCTGGAGTGCGGTGGCACAATGTCAGCTCACTGCATCCTCCACCTCTTGGGTTCAAGCAATTCTCCTGCCTCAGCCTCCTGAGTAGCTGGGACTACAGGTGCATGCCACCACACTTGTATTTTTTTGTATTTTTAGTAGTGACAGGGTTTTACCGTGTTAGCCAGGATGATCTCCATCTCCTGATCTTGTGATCTGCGCACCTTGGCCTCCCAAAGTGCTGGGATTACAGGGGTGAGCCATCATGCCCGGCTTGCAATTGCCTTTTCTATAGATAGACCTAATTATTGTGCCCTTCGGATCTCCCCGACCCCCTTTTTAAAAAATAAGGTCTTTTCCTTCTGCTTTATAATTAGAGGAAGAGTTAATACCTGAAAAGCAGTTGATTTTATTGGGTTTATTTGGTAAGGAAATAACACTGATTCAAACTCAAGGATTTCTAAAGAGATTAACTTACAAGATTTTTTTTTTTTTTTGGGTGGGGGGGACGGAGTTTCGCTCTTGTTACCTAGGCTGGAGTGCAATGGCGCGATCTCGGCTCACCGCAACCTCTGCCTCCTGGGTTCAGGCAATTCTCCTGCCTCAGCCTCCTGAGTAGCTGGGATTACAGGCACACGCCACCATGCCCGGCTAATTTTTTGTATTTTTAGTAGAGACGGGGTTTCACCGTGTTGACCGGGATGGTCTCGATCTCTTGACCTCGTGATCCACCCACCTCGGCCTCCCAAAGTGCTGGGATTACAGGCTTGAGCCACTGCACCCGGCCAAGATTCTTAAATTAATTTCAAAAGGCACCCTTATCAAGGACATTGGAAAGTCCTGAAGCATTTATTTCTTTCTTTCTTTTTTATTTTTTGAGACAGAGTCATACTCTGACACCCAGGCTGGAGGCAGTGGCCTGACCTTGGCTCACTGCAACCTCCGCCTCCTGGGTTCAAGTAGTTCTCCTGCCTCAGCCTCCCGAGGAGCTGGGATTATAGGCACATGCTGTCATGCCTGGCTAATTTTTTTTGTGTTTTAGTAGAGATGGGATTTTGCCATGTTGCCCAGGCTGGTTGTGAACCCTGAGCTCAGGCAGTCTGCCTGCCTTGGCCTCCAAAAGTGCTAGGGTTACAGGTGTGAGCCATCACACCCGGCCAGTCCTGAAGCATTTCTGGACTAAATTCAGTTTTATTTTATTTGACCTTTGTTTTTGTTGTTGTTGTTATTACATGAAGACAGCAGCTCCAGATCATTTTTACATATTTTATAACTACTTTTACTTAGTAGGTATTTAGGTTGCTGTTGAAATTGAGGTGCATATCCCATTTTAGTGATACGTGAATCATCAGTTCAGTGGTCCTTCATGCTGGTTTCGTGTTATTTACATTACTTGAGAGAAATACTGCTGTGTTCTGTAAGACTTCACATACTGTAATGGTAATATTCTCTGCATTTCTTAATTTATTTTAATTCAGTGCACATTTATTAAGCACTACCTGGCTCATACAGAGCTGAACAGGTCGCACACAGCCTCCACCCTCTAAGTGCATTTACCAAGTACTCGTATTTTATTGTTTCTGTTGGGTTTTATTAGAGAGTCTCATTCTCTTGCCCCCCTCATTTATACCTAGTGATAGCTGATGAGCTAAGGGAAAAAAAGAAAAAAAACTGCAGTAAATCTGCAAATGCTGTAAGAAGCAGTGCTCTTGATTTTTTCTTTTTTTTCCCCTGCACTGATTCTGCTTTCCTTTTTACTGGGATCCTAAAAATAGATTTTTCTAAGAAGATTTGCTAGGTGCACAGTATGAGTCCTGGGTACGTATTATGAGGGTCTTTGGAATTTAAGATTGTTTCCTAGTGTTTTACACAATAAAAGTTGTCAGTAGGGTTGCAGAAAAATACTCTTCGTATTTCAACATCATTTTGTCTATAAACTAATCTGTTGACAAGAGTTTTGTATCCATTGCTTACTTACGTTGTCAAATTGTGTGAGGATATGGATTGAACAACCTTTGTTAAGGTGCTGATTTCTATTTTAACTTATTACATATTTTCTTTTTGTTTAAAAAAATTTTTTTTTATCTCAATAGCTTTTAGGGTACAAGTGTTTTTTCTGTTTACATGGATTAATTGTAGAGTGGTGAAATCTGAGATTTTAGTGCATCCATCTCCTGAGTAGTGTGCATTGTACCCAATATAAAGTTTTTACCTCTTACCCTGCCCCACTCCCCTTTCTCAGTCCCCGTAGTCCATTATATCACTCTGTATGCCTTGTTTGCCCATGGCTTAGCTCCCACTTATAAGTGAGAACATACAGTATTAAGTTTTTTGTTCCTGGGTTACTTCACTTAGAAGAATGGCCTCCAGCTCCATCCAAGTTGTTGCAAAAGACATTGTTTTGTTCTTTTTTTTTTTTTGGCTGAGTACTATTCCATGGTGTATAAATAACCACATTTTCTTTACCCACTCATTGGTTGATGGGCACTCAGGTTGGTTCCATATCTTTGCAGTTGTGAATTGTGCTGTCAGATGCTTCTTAGGTTCAAAATGTTTCAATCTTCTGGAATTTTTGGAAATAACGATACAATATTCTTGGGAAAGGATTTTCCTGCCATTTGTGTTTATTTCCCTTCTTAATAACTTTAAAATGTGGAAATGCTTCTGAATACTAGACCTTGTCCTTATTTTTGCTGAAAGACAAAGAAAAAAGTTATATTTCCAGCATATTACTAATTCTGAGCTACAGCATATGCAGATTTATAGTTGACATTTTCTTACAGTTATTTATAGAAACATTGTTTTAATACTAGAGGTCTCAAAGATTGTCCTGGGGGTTTTGGTTAAAATGTAGATTCAGATATAGCAGGTTTGTGTGAGCCTGAAATCCTTTATTTCTAACAGGCTCCCAAATGATGCCACTGTTACTGGTCCCAGACTACATTTTTTTAAAAAGTCTTTTTTTTTTTTTTTTTTTTTTTTTTATTTCAGAGTACAGAAAAGTTGCAGGAGTACAGTTCTCTGATCTCCTTCATCCAGATTCCCTGAATGCTAACGTTTTGTTGAATTAATTTTTTCTCTTTGTCTCTCTTTCTCTAGTGTATGATATTTTTCTGAGCTGTTTAAACATACATAATGCTTCTTTATCCCTAGTTTAATATGTATTTCCAGAAATAAAAGCATTCTCTCACATAACCACACTACAATGATTAAAATCAAGATTAACTTTGGTAGAATATTATTACCTAATCTTAGACCTATTCATATTTCTCCTATTGTCCCAGTAATAGCCTTTATCACAAAATTTTTAAGAATAGTACATGTCAGGTCTCTTTAATCTCTTTTAATCTGGAACATTGCCCAAGTTTGTCTTTATATTTCATGATATTGACGGTTTTGAAGAATATGTATGGGCCAAGTGTTTGGTATAAAACTCCTTAACTGGATTTTGTTTGATGTTTCCTTAAGATTAGGTTTAGATAATGCACATTTGGCAAGAGCACTAGAGATTTGATGCTGAGTTTTTTCAGAGTTTTGTCAGGAGACAACAAGCTGTCCATTAGTTCCATTACTAGCGTGTTAACCTTGATCATTAGGTTAAGGTGGTGTCTGCCGGGTTTTTCCACTGGAGAGTTACTGTTCTACTCTTTTTAATTCGTAAGTATACTTTTGGAAGATGCTTTAAGACTTTGTTGGCCGGGAGTGGTGGCCCACACCTGTAATCCCAGCACTTTGGGAGGCTGAGGTGGGAGGATCATGAGGTCAGGAGATCGAGACCATCCTGGCCAACATGGTGAAACCCTGTCTCTACTAAAAATAAAAAAATTAGCTGGGCATGGTGGTGTGTGCCTGTAATCCCAGCTACTTGGGAGGCTGAGGCAGGAGAACCGCTTGAACCAGGGAGGTTGCAGTGAGCCGAGATCACGCCACTGTTCTCCAGCCTGGCAACAGAGAGAGACTCAGTCTCAAAAAAAAAAAAAAAATACTCTATAAATATCTTATTTAGATTTACAGACTACACTTTAAGGAGCTAGATTAGAAGTTGTGGTGTCTAAGCTACGGAGCACTTGAAATGTGACTAAATTGTGGTGTGCTGTAAATGTAAAATGAATGATGAATTTTAAGACAATATGAAAACAGGAATACAGTATTTCACTAATAATTTTATATAGATTACATGTTGAATGACAATATTTCGGAAATTTGGGTTAAACAAAGTATATCATTAAATTTCCACTTGTTCCTTTTTACTTCAAAAAATATGGCTACTGAAAAATTTAAAATTTCATGTATGGTTTGTTTTTTATTGGATAGTACTGATAGTAAATTTAGAGCCTGGTTGGACTCAGCCCCATTTTAGCCAGTGCTTCTGCAGACATTCTCCAAAACAGTTGGATTTTTGTGGTTGAGAACATTTTAGTATTGATTGTTTGGTTCATTCTGCCAGTGTCACGTGGTGACCATATTCCAGGCACTGTAAGTGTTTATAACCAGAAAGGTGCTGTCTTTCTTTATTCATGGAAATTACAAGTTATGAATGAGATTAGTTGTCAACAGTCCAAGTTCTCTTTTTAAAAAAACATTTGAAAAGCATTGGATTGGTTTAAAGTGAAGGAAAATTTGACAGCAATAGAGACTTTTTCCCAAATAAAAATTAAAGAAGTGATAATTGTGAAAGAGAATGTTGACAGTGATGATAGCCATGAGTATATACCTTCTTCAGCTTTTTGAGTAGGGATTGTTTTTGTAAGGATTTTTTTTCATGTAAATTCATTTCTAAATCAGAATAATAAAGAAGTGTTTGTTAATGTAGTTGTTGATCATACTGCTTGAATGTGCATACATTTGCTAATAACTTGTGAATTTTTTTGTAGTTGATGCAATGAAGAGAGTTGAAGAGATCAAACAGAAACGCCAAGCTAAATTTATAATGAACAGGTATGAATGTTTGTATGGAGTAACTTTTGGAAAATAATTACTAGTAGATATTTAGAGGCATTAGTTTTTTTTTTTTTTTTTTTTTTTTTTTTTTTCGACATAACTTCAGACTTACCAAAAACTTTCAGGAATAATATGAAGGACTCTTGTATATTCTGCCAGCATTTTACATTTACTTTATCCTTGTCACAATGTATGGAAGACATAGTGCTTTTTCCTTCTAAGTATACTTAAGTGTATATAACTTAAAAATAAGAACATTCTCTTAAACACAGTGTGGTTATCTGTCAGTCAGGAAATTAACATTGATGTACTACTAACCTTGTTTAGACGTCACCAGTTATTCTGATTACATCCATGGCAACAGAAAGTCCTTCATATTTCTTCAGCCTCTTTTAATTTGGACAGTTTCTCATCTTTCTTTATTTTACATGACATTGATAGTTTTGAAGAATATAGGTCCGGTTATTATATAGAATGTTCTTCAATTTGGGTTTGTCTAATAACTTCCTCATTAGATTTAGGCTAGGTACCTTTTGCCGGGGTGTTACAGAAATGATGACGTATCCTTCTTATTCATCATATCCGAAAGCATATGATGTCACCTTGCTGATGATGTTAACTTTGATCACTTAATTAAGGTGATGTCTGTCAGGTTTCTCCACTGTAAGATTACTACTTTGTTTTCCTTGTAAACAGTACATGTCTTGTGGGAGATACAAAGAGATTCAATAAAGAGCCTATTACTTCTCAAACTTGTACCTACTGGTTTTAGCTTTCCCTAGAGTCTTGTCTGAATCAGTTACTATTATTGTGATTGTTGCCAAATGGTGATTTTTCTAATTCCATCATTTCATCTACATTTTGTGGTCGACATTCTCATGTAAGAAAGAGCTTTTCCTTTTCTATCAATTTCAAGATTTATTCCTTTATTCATATTACATCTGTGTGTATTTATGGATTCTTATGGTATACATTGGGTTATAATTCTTTATTGTCATTATTTATTTTGATGTTCTGAGTGGCCCAGGTTTGGCCTGTGGGAGTTCCTTTGGCCGACTCTCATGTCATTTTGACAATTCTCATCATTCTTTGAGTGCATTCATGTTTTATAGCTAACAAGATGTTTCAAGACTCATCTTTTGCTTCCTTTTCCCCAGCCTGGAATCAGCCCTTTTTTCAGAGCAGGATCATTAGCTTTTAAACTAATTGCTGTGGAATACGTCATGGAGAAGAAGCATGTGCTAGCAGCTTTCTGGCTTAAAAATGTTAAAGCATTTTAGAAAAATGTTTGAGAACTAGTTTGTTAGCATTTCTGTTGAATATCGTGTGTTTTGTGCTCTTGTAATTACCAAATAGTTTTTAAAAAATTATATAACAGAGACTTACGTATATGAGGAGAAAAGATCTAGGCACTTTAACAGTTAGAGGTTGTTTTATTTAGTAGAGCACTACTTTTCATGAGTCACATCCTTCATTTGCTCAGCAAATATATATTGGGCCTCCATTTTGTGCCAGACCAGGTACAAAGGGATACAATGATTGAATGAACACATTTTGTGGTAGGATAGGAATCCTATTTTAAGCTAATTATGAACTAAAAAGCCACTTTGATTTTGAGTTGTTAGGGAAGTAAGTGTACATTTGTGAGGGCTTAGTAAGTGACCTTACCTTAGATTTGGGAATTACTATAAGGTATATATCTCGTTTATATTAACTTATACCTGTTAAGTTCACTGGCTTGCCATTTGGGAATAATTTGAGAGAACTGAGAGGCTCTTTGTTGACTTGGTGTTGATGTTCCTGCTGGACGGGGGGGCGTTGTGGGGAGAAGGAAGGGTAATAAACAGAAGGGCAGCCATCATGTTCCCATTCCCCATCTGTGTGGCTAACTTAAGTAACAAAATTTAGAAGCTGTATTGTGAATTGATGCCTCTTAAAGAAGTGTTAGTAACTGAAATTTTGGCTTTAATATGTTTTATTAAAGACTGAAGAAAAATAAAGAGCTACAGAAAGTTCAGGATATCAAAGAAGTCAAGCAAAACATCCATCTTATCCGAGCCCCTCTTGCAGGTGAGTATTACATTACACTACACAGGAGTTCTCTGCTTTAAGAAGAAAACTGAAAAAATCTAGATTTTTGAGGTCTCTGTATTTGGGTACCAACTAACTTTGGGTATTTTTTTCCTTTAAATATTGTCTTAGTAAATTTATGATATGATTTGGTCTGTAAAAAGGTAATTTATTCAGTGTATTTTCCAGTTACAGTCAATCTATTGATACAGTGTTTCTTTTTTCCCTTCATTGAATTCTATGTTCTGTATCTCCCCAAGTTAAGCAAAATGATTTGAGTAATAATTTTATAGGTGATTTTTGTCTCATACTTGTTTTGATTAAAGAACAGTATTTTATATTAGTGGTTCTCAACCTTTGGTTGGTATAGGAATTACCAACTTGGGGAACTTAAATACATAGGCCCAGGCTCTTTGAGTCTGGGCTGCTGTTCAGTAGCATTCCAGGTGATTCTGATTCTAAAATTTGGACTACTGTTTCTTTTACTCAGCTGACACCAAGTACAGCTAGATCACTTAAAGAGAAAGAAATCTTGTCTAAATCTTAGTAAAGGTCAAATTCTGTAACCACATGTTGAGTACATTTGTGTAAATCTACTTGTATTATTTTTGTACCAAATTTTACTAAAACAAAATAGACAAAATTCTGGAGCATTTGTTTTACATATACCTAACAAATTGATAGCCAAAAAGCACCAGAAATGAACCATTGTTATCTAATTTTTTAGGTAATTCTCTTTTAGGTAGATAGGACAGTGTTAAGAGCAGGGACCGTGGATCCAGATGGCTGAGGTTCACATACCAGTGGTTTGACTTAGATGACTTTATAGTTGAGTGACCTTCCGCAAGTTAATCTGTCTTGGAGCCTAAGTTTTCTCATATTTAGAATGGGGATTGTTATGAGGGTGAAATCAGCAAATGTATGTAGAATGTCTATTTGATGAATGGCTAGCTATTTTAAAATTTCTTAGGAATGGCTAATATTACTTTAAAACACACGGGATCCTCTATAAAGTTTTGACATGTTGATGTAAGGTCACATTGAATTAAGTTTTTTATTTTTTACTTATTTTTGTTAAAGGCAAAGGGAAGCATTTGGAAGAGAAAATGGTACAGCAGTTGCAAGAGGATGTGGATATGGAAGACGCTTCTTTAAAATCTCTGTAACCATTTCTTTTATGTGCATTTGAAAATGCCCTTTGGACACTTGGAACTGCTAAATTATTAGTTTATTTTTTACATAAGGTTACTTAAATGAAAAGTGATTAAAATATGTCTTTTCTACATTGCCATCTATAAAACATCAGATATTACGGATGTTACATTACATCTCAGTGTTAAATCTTCACTGACAGATGTACTTATGTAAATCATGAAAATTCTGCTTATAACTATAGAAGTGAATTGTGGATGTAAAATGCTTATTCCATCTGGATAATGGCACAGGGCAGCCTCTGTATAATAAGTAATGGCAAAAATTCATGGTTAGTAATGTATAAAATAAAATATTCTTTGCAGTAAAATATTCCCTTTATTAATGTTATAGAACAGGGGATACAATAAGGAAATAATTTGTATGAGAGTGTCAAATACTATTTTATTTTAATATTTCCTGTTTTGGTTTATTGGCATCTCAGAAGAGCGTAATGATACTGTTTGATGAAGCCTAATTGTGCTGGACTGTTTTGACCTGGTTTAACCCTTCTGATAGGTAGTTTTGGATGTTGGGGATGAGAACTGAATAATCTTTGCCTGGAGCGACACTATTTAGAATTTCCACTTTGGAGAATACTCAGTTCCAACTTCTGATTCCTGGTAGAACAAACTTTATTTTTCTAACCTACCAATGATCTAGAAGCAGAGAAATCCCAATGCCTTTTAAAAGTTACATGGCTTTCTTTTAAAAAGCTCCTGTTTTTGGAAAGTAGAATTTATGGGTACAACATCTATTCATTATTTGTACATAAAATAAAACCATTTAAAAAGTAATGCCGGTATTTATTATTTAAAGGTACTAAACAAAGATATGAAGTATTGATTACCTAGAAGAAAACATCCTCCAAAGATACTGCTTATGTAAGAGATACATTTAAAGAGAAATAGATACTTAATATTTAATGTTTCAGTGTTTTTACATTGCTTACAATTTTAAGTATATTTTTCTTTTCTCTTTTTTTTAATTGCATTTTAGGTTTTGGGGTACATGTGAAGGACATGCAAGATTGTTGCATAGGTACACACATGGCAGTGTGATTTGTTGCCTTCCTCCCCATCACCTATATCTGGCATTTCCCCCCATGCTGTCTCTCCCCAACTCCCCACCCTCTGCTGTCCCTCCCCTATTTCCCCCTGACAGACCCCAGTGTGTGATGCTCCCCTCCCTGTGTCCATGTGTTCTTATTGTTCAACACCCACCTATGAGTGAGAACGTGGTGTTTGATTTTCTGTTCTTGTGTCAGTTTGCTGAGAATGATGGTTTCCAGGTTCATCCATGTCCCTACAAAGGACAAAAACTCATCGTTTTTGATGGCTACATAATATTCCATGGTGTATATGTGCCACATTTTCCCTGTCCAGCCTATCATCGATGGGCATTTGGGTTGGTTCCAGGTCTTTGCTATTGTAAACGGTGCTGCAGTGAACATTCATGTGCATGTGGCCTTATAGTAGAATGATTTATACTCCTTTGGATATATACCCAGTACTGGCATTGCTGGGTCAAATGGAATTCTATTTCTAGGTCCTTGAGGAATCACCACACTGTCTTCCACAATGGTTGAACTAATTTACACTCCCACCAACAGTGTAAAGTGTTCCTATTTCTCCACATCCTCTCCAGCATCTCTTGTCTCCAGATTTTTTAATGATTGCCATTCTAACTGGCGTGACATGGTATCTCAATGTAGTTTTGATTTGCATTTCTCTAATGACCAGTGATGATGAGCATTTTTTCATGTTTGTTGGCCTCATGTATGTCTTCTTTTGTAAAGTGTCTGTTCATATCCTTTGCCTACTTTAGAATGGGCTTGTTTTTTTCTTGTAAATCTCTTTTAGTTCTCTGTAGATTCTGGGTATCAGCCCTTTGTCAGATGGGTCAACTGCAAAAGTTTTTTCCCATTCTGTTGGTTGCCGATTGACTCTAATGACTGTTTCGTTCGCTGTGCAGAAGCTGTGGAGTTTGATTAGGTCCCATTTGTCTGTTTTGGCTTTTGTTGCCAATGCTTTTGGTGTTTTGATCATGAAGTCCTTGCCTACGCCTACGTCCTGAATGGTTTTGTCTAGGTTTTCTTCTAGGGTTTTTATGGTGTTAGGTCTTATGTTTAAGCCTTTAATCCATCTGGAGTTAATTTTAGTGTAAGGTGTCAGGAAGGGGTCCAGTTTCTGCTTTCTGCATATGGCTAGCCAGTTTTCCCAACACCATTTATTAAACGGACTCCTTTCCCCATTGCTTGTTTTTGTCAGGTTTGTCAAAGATCAGATGGTTGTAGATGTGTCGTGTTGCCTCTGAGGCCTCTGTTCTCTTCCATTGGTCTATATCTCTGTTTTGCTACCAGTACTATGCTGTTTTGATTACTGTAGCCTTGTAGTATAGTTTGAAGTCCGGTAGTGTGATGCTTCCAGCTTTGTTCTTTTTACTTAGAATTGACTTGGCCATGTGGGCTCTCTTTTGGTTCCATATGAAGTTTAAGGTGGTTTTTTCCAGTTCTGTGAAGAAGGTCATTGGTAGTTTGATGGGGATAGCATTGAATCTGTAAATTACCTTGGGCAGTATGGCCATTTTCATGATACTGATTCTTCCTAACCATGAACGTGGAATGTTTCTCCATCTGTTTGTGTCCTGTCTTATTTTGTTGGGCAGTGGTTTGTAGTTCTCCTTGAAGAGGTCCTTTATGTTCCTTGTTGGTTGTATTCCTAGGTATTTTATTCTCTTTGTAGCAGTTGTGAATGGCAGTTCGTTCTTGATTTGGCTCTCTTTAAATCTGTTATTGGTGTATAGGAATGCTTGTGATTTTTGCACATTGATTTTGTATCCTGAGACTTTGCTGAAGTCGCTTATCAGTTTCAGGAGATTCTGGGTTGAGATGATGGGGTCTTCTAGATATACAATCATGTCGTCTGCAAATAGAGACAATTTGACTTCCTCCTTTCCTATTTGAATACCCTTTATTACTTTTGCTTGCTTGATTGCTCTGGCTAGAACTTCCAATACTCTATTGAATAGGAGTGGTGAGAGAGGGCATCCTTGTCTAGTGCCAGATTTCAAAGGGAATGCTTCCAGTTTTTGCCCATTCTGTATGATATTGGCTCTTGGTTTGTCGTAAATAGCTTTTATTATTTTGAGATACGTTCCGTCAATACCTAGTTTATTGAGGGTTTTTAGCATAAAGTGCTGTTGAATTATGTCAAAGGCCTTCTCTGCATCAATTGAGGTAATCATGTGGTTTTTGTCTTTGGTTCTGTTTACGTGGTGGATTATGTTTATAGACTTGTGTATGTTGAACCAGCCTTGCATCCCCGGAATGAAGCCTACTTGATCATGGTGGATAAGCTTTCTGATGTCCTATTGCAATTGGTTTGTCAGTTTTTTATTGAAGATTTCTGCATCTATGTTCATCATGCATATTGGCCTGAAGTTTTCTTTTCTTGCAGAGTCTCTTCTGGGTGTTGGTATCAGGATGATGTTGGTCTCATAAAATGATTTGGGAATGATTCCCTCTTTTTGGATTGTTTGGAATAGTTTCAGAAGGAATGGTACCAGCTCCTCCCTGTATGGCTGGTAGAATTCGGCTGTGAACCCATCTGGACCCGGGCTTTTTTTGGGTGGTAGGCTCTTAATTGCTGCCTCAACTTCAGACCTTGTTATTGGTCTATTCAGGGTTTCGACATCTTCCTGGTTTAGGCTTGGCAGGAGGCAAGTGTCCAGGAATTTATCCATTTCTTCCAGGTTTGCTAGTTTATGTGCATAGAGTTGTTTGTAATAATCTTTGATGATGGTTTGTATTTCTGTGGAATCTGTGGTGATATCCCCTTTATCGTTTTTTATTGCATCTATTTGATGCTTCTCTGTTTTCTTTTTTATTAATCTGGCTAGTGGTCTATTTTGTTGATCTTTTCGAAAAACCAGCTCCTGGATTTATTGATTTTTGAAGGGTTTTTCGTGTCTCTATCTTCTTCAGTTCTGCTTTGATCTTAGTTATTTTTTGTCTTCTGCTAGGTTTTGAGTTTTTTTGGTCTTGCTCCTCTAGCTCTTTCAATTTTGACAATAGGGTGTCGATTTTAGATCTCTCCTTGCTTCTCATGTGGGCATTTATTGCTATATATTTTCCCCTAGAGACTGCTTTAAATGTGTCCCAGAGATTCTGGTATGTTATGTCTTCATTCTCATTTGTTTCGAAGAACGTCTTTATTTCTGCCTTCATTTCATTGTTTATCCAGTCAACATTTAAGAGCCGGTTGTTCAGTTTCCATGAAGCTGTGCAGTTCTGAGTTAGTTTTTGAATTCTGAGTTGTAACATGATTGCACTGTGGTCTGAGAGACTATTTGTTACGTGCATTTGCTGAGGAGTGATTTACTTCCAATTATGTGGTCAATTTTAGAGTAGGTGTGATGTGGTGCTGAGAAGAATGTATATTCTGTGGATTTGAGGTGGAGAGTTCTGTAAATGTCAATTAGGTTTGCTTGGTCCAGGTCTGAGTTCAAGTCCTGGATATCCTTGTTAATTTTCTGTCTGGTTGATCTGTCTAATATTGACAATGGGGTGTTAAAGTCTCCCACT